AGCAGGGGGAGCACCCCCATACTGTTGGTGTGGGGACATGAACCTGAGGGAGCACAAATGCCATGAACTGCTGGGGCCAGCAAGGGCTGGGGGACACCAGGGAAACCACTCAGGTTTGTCCTGGCCTCTGCAGTCAGGCAGCAAGTTTATTCCCTTCCGCTGGGAGTTTCCTGTCCCACTGCAGATGCTGTTGCTCAGAGCCAGGGCTGCCTGGCACCCACCCCCAAACTGCCCTGAGCAATTCCTTGGCTTCACTTTTGATTTCTTTACTCCCCATGCTACAAATGTCTTCCCATTGCCCACCCCTGTTTCCTCCCTGCAAACAGCCCATCCCTGTTTGCCCTTTCCTCTCTGGCCCCACTCCCCATTGCAGTTCCTGGCTTGGCACCATGGGAACATCCCCTGGGGAGCAGGATCATCCCACAAGTGCTGCAGGAATTGTCTGCAGGCTCCTGCAGTGCCTGGGGCTGCTCCCTTGCCAGAGACACCTCAGGCCAGGGGGGCACATCTGGGCTGCTCTGTCTGGCTCTGGGGCTCCCTGTTCTGGGCAGTGAGGAGGAGCTGCAGAGGCTCAGCAGGACTGACAGGATGGGCTTTGGGGCTGGCAGGAGAAGCTGAGGGACCTGGGCTGCTGGAGCTCCTGAAGAGGAGGCCCAGGGCTCATCCTGCAACTGCTCCAAGGGTGGTTCCAGAGAATCCCAGAATCAGCAAGGGTGGAACAGGCCATGGAGATCATCAAGTCCAACCTGTGCCCTGACACCGCCTTGTCTCCCCTAGGCATCATGTCCTCCAGGATAAACAACCCCAGCTCCCTCAGCTGCTCCTCACAGCTCTTCTGTTCCAAACCCCCCCCAGCCTTTTTGCCTTTCTCTGGACATGCTCCAGCCCCTCACTGTCCTTCCTAAATTGGGGGCCCCAGAACTGCAAACAGCACTCGAGATGCTGCCCAAGCAGTGCTGGGAAAGAATCCCTGCCCTGCTCCTGCTGGCCACACCATTCCTGAGCCAGGCCAGGAGCCATTGGCCTTCTTGCCCACCTGGGCACACTGCTGTCTCCTGTCCAGCCTGCTGTCCATCAGTCCCTGCAGGTCCCTTTATGCCTGGCTGCTCTCCAGCCCCTCTGTCCCCAGCTTGTAGTGCTGCAGGGGTTGTTGTGGCCAAAGTGCAGGACCTGGCACTTGCACTTGTTAAACCTCACCTTGTTGGATCTGGGCCCTGGATCCAGCCTGTCCAGGGCCCTGTGCAGAGCCCTCCTACCATCCAGGAGATCAACACTCCCAGCCAACTCGATGTCACCAGGGTTCCATGAGGCCTCACAGTGCCTTAATGTCTCTTTGGTTCCATGGGACCCCTTGATGTCACAAAGTCCTTGGATCCTTGGGCCCTGCAGTGTCACAATGCATCCTTGATCCCCCAAGGCCCTGCCGTGTCTCAATGGGTCCTTAGTTCCATGAGGTCTGGCAGTGCAGCAATGCTCTCCTTGGTTTGGTTCCACAACGTCACAATGGCCTCTTAGTTCCAAGGGCCTCCACGGTGTCAAACATGTTTCCTTCATTCCAGGAGTCCCTGAGGAGCAGCACTATCCCCTTGGTTCCATGGGGCCCTGCAGTGTCACAATGGTTCCATCATGACACCAGGTCCTGCTCTGTCACAATGCTCTGCATGGTCCCACAAGGCCCTGCAGGGTCACAGTGGCCTCTGTGGTTCCAGGAGGCCTTAGAGTGCTGCAATGGATTCCTTGGTGTGGCAGTGTCACAATGGAGCCCTGGTGACAAAAGACCCTTCAGTGTCACCAGAGACCCTTGGTTCTATGGGGCACCACAGTGTCACAATTGTTCCCTCATTTCCCAGAGTCCTTGCAATGCAGCAATGCCTTCTTGATTCCATTGTCCCTAGACTCTTCCAAGGTCTCCTTGGTTCCGCAGTGTCACAATGGCCCCTTGGTTCCACAAGGCCCTGCAGTGTCACACTGGCCTCTGTGGTTCCACCAGGACCCAGACTGCAACAATGGACTTACTCCTTGCTTCCATTCAGACCCACAGTGTCACAATGGCCTCTTGGCTCTGTGCTGTCATGTCGTACACAGTGTCACCATGGTCCTCTTAGTGCCACCAGGCCCCACAGTGTCACAATGACCCCTTGCTTCCCCAGGGCCCTGCACTATCACAATCATCAGAGAATGAACCAGGCTACAAAAGACCTTGGAGAGCATCAAAACCAACCTGGGACCCAACACCACCTTGTCACCCAGGCCATGGCATTTAGTGTCACATCCACTCTTTCCTTAAACACTTCCAGGGATGGTGACTCACCCACCTCCCTGAGCAGCCCATTCCAATGCCCAGTTGTATGGAGAATATTTCCTAATGTCCAGCCTAAATGTTTCCTGGTGCAGCTGAAGGCTGTGTTCTCTTGTCCTGTCACTGTTCCCTGGGAAAAGAGCCCGTGCCCCACCTGGCTGCACCCTCCTGTCAGGGAGCTGTAGAGAGGGATGAGGTCTCCCCTGGGCCTCCTCTCCTCCAGGATAAACAACCCCAGCTCCCTCAGCCGCTCCTCACAGGACTTGTGCTCCCAACCCCTCCCCAGCCTTGTTGCCCTTCTCTGGACATGCTCCAGCCCCTCCATGTCCTCCCTAAATTGGGGGGCACAGAACGGGACACAGCACTCAAGGTCCTTCCCAAGCAATGCTGAGCACAGGGGAAGAATCCCTGCCCTGCTCCTGCTGGCCACACCATTCCTGATCCATAGGAGTGCCAGGGGTTTTATGAGGGAAATTGTGGGGAGGGAGTGGGGACACAGTGTTATTGATTGTCAGCCATGAAGGGTCTTGATTTTCATGTGTATTCAGACTGCTTTAGAAGAGTCTGGGGGTCAATATCAATTGGACATGTGTGATATCAATCTATAAGCAGGAAAAGAAAACCAAACTTGCATTGTTTTCAATATAGAAGATTCACTTTGTATACTCTTCTGAAATCTGTCTAATTAACCACAGAAGAATTGAAAACATAGATTATTCCCAGTGGTTTTTCCTGTTTGGGTATTTGAACAAATATTTATGAGCTTTGCTCACTGAATTCCAGAACTGAGGAGCTCAAGAAAGAAGAGGCCTCTGGAGTAGTAAAATTCATCAGCAACCTCCAAGTGCCAGCAGATCCATCCCCATCAGAGCAGCAATGAACAGAAATGGGCACAGCTTTGTGGCTGCCCCAGCTTTGGCATGGGCCCTGGGCCTGGAGCAG